GAAAGGAAAGGAACTTCCCTACTTGTACTGTGATGCCCAAAAGTTAGGATCCGGGGTGGGCATTAATATGTTCAGCAGATCGATGTGGAGGTGCATGCATGAGTTCATGGATGGAGAAGTCTGATTCTCAAGAAATTCAGACCCCTCTACATCCTCAAAATTGCCATCTTCCTCGCTCCCAAACAGTGAATCTTCATCAGAGTCAAGGACGATGACCGCGTTCTTATCTCTGACCGGGGCAACATCGGCATCATCGTCATCGCTGTGGATGACGATGACCTCGTCCTCCTTCTTCGCGTCAGAGGTGGAAGATAGGTGAATCACATCGTCCTCAACTCCAATGTCCTGAAATTCTGTCTCAGGGATGATGGAATCGTAAAGAAAGTATTCAGATTCCATGAATTCAGGCAGAGATGTATAGATCTGGGAGAGGAACGATTGTAATCTAGGGATTGGGAGAGAAGAAGAACCGACAGAGAGAGAGTAGATTAGATCTAAAGAGGGGCGAGAGAGTTTAATTGGGGAGGTGGGCGGGTTGGGTAGATAGGAGGAGTGAATGTGAGGATATTAAATGAGAGGGGTATTTTAGGGAGAATAGAGGAAAAAGCGTACAATGGGAACATCATTTCCGGACAGAGAAAAACGTACAATGGGACTATCATTCCCGGACGGAGGGAGTATAATTTTATTATTATAATTTTTTATATTTATTTATTGACCTGTAACTTCTATTTTACTCGCCACGCTTTACCCGTACGTCCAAACTTGACAAACTATATACCGTTGGTCACCATTTTACGAGATCTACTCGAAAATCTAATTTTTAAATAAAATGATCAACTCTACAAATAATTCATATTTTTGAGTCAGAAAATACAATAAAATACTATATTTATTTTTATTAAAATAACGGCTAATTACTAAGCCGGTTTTCGGGTCGTTACACGTTCACTCTAACGGAAACTTGCAAGAACATTGTTAGATGCTTTTCTTAATCAAGACTGTTAATCTCTCAAGGATAGAACGAGTTTGATGCCACTAACGACTTTAGAATACGTACCCATGGGGACAACAACGTAATCGTGATTTAACCGGATGATCATGACACAGTCTGACAAAATTTCAAGGACAAAATTCCAAGGACAAAATTCAATACAGAATTCTGATCATTGAGCCTTAGAAGAATTTCAAGGACAAAATTCCTTTGAAGGGGAAGAAATGTAACGCTCCAAAACACACTCTAAAAATATCATTGAATAATTATTCAATTAAACAAATTTGTTTCTGTTTAAAATAAATTATTGTTGGGCCTTGGGAGAAATTTGAAGATATTTGATATTCAATATCATTACTCTAGATAAATCTCATAGAGATAAAACGAACATGCAGATTGAATGTGTGGTCTTGATTAGAGACCACAATACAGACCTAAACTAAAATCTGTTTGATTGATGTGAACTCTGGAAGCAAACAAACACTTACTGTAATAACTTAAACGATAATAATTAACTTAGACTGTTTAGAAAATACTTCTAGTTTTAATGATAAAATAAATTAATGAAATCCAAAACTCATAAATCAATTAAGCTTAATTCCAAATTTAAACGGTTGACGAAACTCAGGGTCAAGTTGAAGAAGATTTCTACCTGCAGTTCTTCCCTATTTCCCCTAATATAGCCTACGTTCAGACATGCCCTAACTCTAGACCCTACTATTTTTGAAAACCTTAAGTCATGCCCAAAGATTTAATTAAAAATAGAGCATTAAGTTCTTTGGAAAATATCACTCAACAACTATACAGTTGACTATATCCATTTAACATAGCCAGTTTGAAAATTCCAATTAATAAAAACCGGGTGGAAGCCAATTAAGTATCAATGAGGTGACACTTGCATTTTGAAAATCCTAGCTGTGAACATACTAAAGATATCAAAACTGTCAATTTGGAATTAGATTTAGGTGGCCGTCCCAAATTGGTGTAATCCAAGCATAAACAAATTTCAAACACCCTTTTGTAGTTGAAACCATCCTTAGCATAATGGCTTAAAACATCTTCAAAGCCATAGTACTCAACAAGAATTCTTGATTGAATGATTTAATCTTATTGATGAATAAAATGCTCTAAGAAGTTTTTTTATAAATTTAGAGCCTAATTAATCAAACAAATCAGATTTGAACAACAACAAGAACAACATGCACAATATACATATACTTTTGACTCAAAGAATCCACAAGCAAGGGAGAAGTTTAAACCAAAACATTAGAATTGATAGAGAATATCCAACTTGCCAATAAAAAGGTTCTGCCAATTGCGTAGACAAGACAATTTAATTCAACCCTTGTTAAGAAATTGTTGAAGAAAGATATAAACTCTACTGTGAACAAAGATTTTAACAAAGACGAACATAAGGAAGAAGAAATTGGAGGATCTCGACCGAAATCCAGATCCCCCATAAGGTTGTACCCATCAAGTGATCTTCCTCGCCCCCGCGTTGCTGCTCTGGTGCAACTTATTCTCCGCCTCACTGCTGCGTTTATGCTTCTTTTATAGATTCTGGATTTTAGATCTTCTTCTCGGATTAGGACATAAAATCCCTAATTAGATGGAAGGAGTCTCCGTTCTTCGCCTTGATCCCGTCTTCAAGCATGATTCTTCTTCTTTCGCTGGCCTCCGCAGTTGCACTCATCTACTAGACCGGTGGTTTGAGAATGGGCGGCTTGATGCTTTGATTTTGGGCAGCCCCTAGATTTTGATTCTTAATATAACTTGTGATAAAAGTATTGGGAATTTATGTTTATTTCTACAAAGGTTCTGGTCTGAATACAGAAAGCTCCTACCCTATTTATAAGCCAAGAATCCAAATCCTAGAAGGAAACAAAGTAAACTAGGAAACAAAGAGTACAAGACCAAAGTAAACTAGGAAATAACTCAAACCAAATCCTCAAGGGATTCGGCCTTCCAACATGCGTGCAAGCCAAGGAACGAACCCCCGTTCCGTAACACCCCCCCTCAAGCGGGTACATGTGGATTACGTGTACCCAGCTTGGACAACAGATGCATGAAAGGCGCAGTGGGCAATGCTTTAGTCAGGATGTCAGCAGGTTGATCAGCCGAAGTAATATGCATGGTGCGAAGGATGCCACGCAGAATCTCATCCCGAACGAAATGGCAGTCAATCTCGATGTGTTTAGTGCGCTCATGGAATACTGGATTTGCTGCTATGTGAATCGCAGCCTGACTATCACAAAACAACTTCATAGGAAGGCGCACCGTGATTCCAAACGACAAAAGAAGAGACCGCAACCACTTGAGTTCACATACAGTAGTAGCCATCGCACGATATTCGGCTTCAGCCGATGAACGAGAAACAGTATGTTGTTTCTTCGTTCGCCACGAAATCGGTGAATCCCCAAGCTTTATGAAGTATCCTGTCACCGAACGACGAGTGAGCGGACAGCTTGCCCAATCAGAGTCGCAGAATGCCGTGAGAGACAAATCCCCATCAGCGGGAAGAAAAAGTCCTTGACCGGGCCGAGATTTCAAATAGCGAAGAGTATGTTGAGCAGCATCCCAATGTTCCTGTCGGGGGGTCCCCATAAATTGTGAAAGAGTGTGCACTGCATAGGATAAATCAGGCCGAGAAATTGTCAAATAGATAAGCCGACCAACAAGGCGTCTGTACTGGCTTGGTTGGAGAAGTTCCGGGCCTTGGGCGAGAGCAAGATGATGGTTCGCAGGAAGGGGTGTGCTTGCTGGTCGCGCTCCAAGCATCCCAGTCTCGGTCAAAATATCCAAGGCATACTTTCGTTGACATAAAAAGATGCCTTTAGAGTTTCGTGCCACCTCCAACCCTAAGAAATATTTTAACTGCCCCAAATCCTTCATATGAAAACATTCAGACAAGTAGTGCTTGAATTTCCCAATAAATGACTCATCAGTCCCAGCAATAATTAAATCATCTACGTAGATCAAAACATGCACCATAACACCCCCCCTGGCATAGGTAAACAGACTATAATCGGCTTTGGATTGGCGAAATCCAAACCTGTGTAGCGCAGAGGTCAACTTAGCGAACCAACAACGAGGTGCCTGACGCAACCCATATAAGGATTTGTGCAAACGGCACACCAGCCCGTGATAACGCGGTGCCGAACCCGGGGGCAACTGCATATATATCTCGTCCTTAAGATCTCCATGAAGAAAAGCGTTATGCACATCCATCTGATGCAAATGCCACTGACGTGCAGCAGCAAGGGCCAGCAAAGTACGCACCGTGACTAACTTCGCAGTGGGTGCAAAAGTCTCTTTAAAATCAATTCCCTCTTTCTGTTTATTTCCAAGCACCACTAGGCGTGCTTTGTAACGTTCAATAGAGCCATCAGACTTGTGTTTAATCTTGAACACCCACTTTGAGCCAATTGTCTTTCTTCCTGGAGGAAGTGGAACAAGAGACCAAGTTTTATTATCTTCCAGAGCTCTCAGCTCCTCCCGCATTGCCTCTCGCCAGTGGGCATACTTCACCGCCTCAGAAAAGTGTGTGGGTTCCGATTCTGCACTTATAGCTGCCAAGAAACATCTATGGGACAAAGAAAAATTGTCATAAGTAATAAACTTTGTAATACAGTGAGCGGTACCTGAGGGTGGATCCGGGGATGGTGAAGCAGCTTGAGGATGTTGAATGGTGTGAACAACAAAGTCTCGTAACCGTGTTGAAGGTTTCCGTTCGCGAGTTCCCCGACGCAAGCAATCAGGAGGGACGCTGGAGCCAGTGGGGCTGCCGGCAGGGACTATATCGGCAAAAGCATTGTCAGAAAGAGATACCCCGCCACCAGTGGGGTTATCGGGTTGGTTGGTTTCGCTATTGGTGGTTTCGTCGTCGTCCAGTGTGTGTTTCTCAATGGCGCCAGTGGGGCTACCAAAGGATGGACGGGACGCCGGGGTAGAGCAGATGGGCAACGACGTGAATTCGTCGTCTTCCACGAGCTCAAGGGATTCGGTCATAGTGTCGCTCTGCTGTGAAGGTGGTTCAGGGGTTGAGAATGGAAAAGATTGTTCAAGGAATTTGACGTCTCGACTCACCAAAATTTTATTCGTTTCTAAATCGAGAAGACGCCAACCCTTTTGACCAAAAGGATATCCAAGGAAGACACATTTGCGTGAACGACTTGCAAATTTATCACCATGATGATTTTGATTGTGTGCATATGCGAGGCACCCAAAGGTGCGAATATGGGAATAACTGGGAGGCTGACCAAACAAGGTTTCATAAGGTGTTTTATTATGGAGTAGTGGGGACGGGGTGCGATTGATTAGATACCCGGCTGTCAAGATGCAATCTCCCCAAAACCTAATGGGTAGATTCGCTTGGAATCGTAAAGCTCGACCCACATTAAGGATGTGGCGATGCTTACGTTCCACACGCCCATTCTGTTGTGGGGTACCGACACAAGATGATTCGAAGAGTATTCCTTGCGATTCAAAGAAAGGTTTTAAACAGGTAAATTCTGTGCCATTGTCACTACGAACTATTTGGACTTTCTTTTCAAATTGACGTTCTACCATAGCAAAGAAACTACAGAGAATAGAGGGGGTTTCATCTTTGTTATTAAGCAAATAAATCCAAACAGCTCGAGAAAAATCATCTACAATGGTAAGAAAGCATTTTGCCCCAGTTCGAGCTGGTGTTCGATATGCACCCCACAGATCACAATGAATCAAGGAAAAAGGGACAAGAGCTTTATTAAGACTTTCAGGAAAAACATCACGACATTGTTTTGACCGGAAACAAATATCACATGGAATATTGGAGTCACTAGTTTTAGTGGATTGTACTTGAGGCAACAGTTGAACAACGGAATGAGAAGGATGTCCTAATCTTTTATGCCAGGACTCCACGTCTTCAGCAACCTTCACAGCATAGACTTTGTCGGTCACACCCTTCTGGAGATAAAAGATTCCATGAAGCTGCTTACCCATTCCAATCACCGTCCTCAAGGCATAGTCCTGTATAAAGCAAAGTTCATTAGCAAATAACACAATTAATCTTTTATCTTCTAGAAGTTGCGAGACAGATATAAGATTGCAGTTAAGTTTAGGAACAAACAACACGTTTTCCAAAACTAGTCTATCATTTAAACAAACAGTCCCTCGCTATTTTGCCTCGGCCTTTTCTCCATTGGGCAACCCAACTGAGCAAGCCGTTATCCATTCGACGTCCTTTAGGTTCTTTATATCACCTGTCATGTGCTGACTTGCTCCGCTGTCAATTATCCAAGAAGTTACTGGTATTCCTGAAAATTTATTATCAAGAGGCAATTCTTTTTCTTTAAAGATTCCCATCAAGGCATTCCACTGCTCTTTGGAAAAGCGTTCCCGCTCTCCATTCCCGTCTGTCCGTGCCGTGTGAGCACTTGGTCCTCCTCCATCAGTTCTGCCGTACCGGTTTCCTCTGCCGCCTCCTCCCCCTCGGGTCTGCCTTCCTCGTCCGCGCCCAGCTCCTCCACCGCCGCGACCTCTTCCGTAGGCAGTGGCCTGTGGTCGGGGTCGGTCACCCCACCATTCCGGGTAACCAATGATTTGAAAGCATCCACTTATCTCATGTCCATTCTGGCCGCAGTTCCTACATTTGAGATCCTTGGTCACGTCTTTATTGTGAACTACCGCAAAACTGACAGGGTTCTTTTCTTCCTCTTGTGTGACCTTCAATACTCCTTCTTGCTGGACGATCGTGGAATAGACCCGATTGAGTGGAGCCAAAGGTACAGTGCTCAAAATATTTGATCGAACACTTCCATACCCCTCGTTGTCAAGTCCCATCAAGAACTGGTGCACCTTCTCATTTTCCTTTTGTATCTCGATTTGCTTCAGCGTGCCACATTTACAGCCACGACACTTGGAGCACGTAGACAATTTTTCCAACGTGCCGAGATCATCCCATATGCTCTTGAGTTTACCAAAGTATGTTGGTATAGCCTGACCATTCTGTCTGCAATTTGCCAATTCCCTTTTGAGTTGGTTTATTCTTGGTCCGTTTGCAACGGAGAACCGCTCCTTGATGTCGTTCCAGAGTTAGGCTGTTTCTTCTACTTGTGTGATGGAATTTCTGAGAGATCCATCTATGGTGTTAAAGATCCATGATACCAACATGGCGTTCACGATCCACCATTCTTCAGCTTCTTCTTCGTCTTCTTCTGGGAGAGGAATGGATCCGTCAATGAATCCAAATTTCCTTTTGGCTCGAAGAGCTATTCGCACCGCCCGGGCCCATTCTTCATACTTATCTCCAGTTAATTTAATCTGGGTGATAACGAGAGCAGGAGTATCTGCAGATCTCAGCTCATATGGACTTATCTTTGTGACTTGCTTTTCTCCGATTTCTTCCTCTTCACCGATAACTTGTGAAACAGGTTTTTCAGTTTTCTCGACCTTCTCGTCCGCCATGTCTGTCGATCGCAGGGTGCGGGTGGTGTTTGTTGGCCGAGAGAATTAAGTCGACACAGGTCTCAGAAGATATGCTTTGATACCATGATAAAAGTATTGGGAATTTATGTTTATTTCTCCAAAGGTTCTGGTCTGAATACAGAAAGCTCCTACCCTATTTATAAGCCAAGAATCCAAATCCTAGAAGGAAACAAAGTAAACTAGGAAACAAAGAGTACAAGACCAAAGTAAACTAGGAAATAACTCAAACCAAATCCTCAAGGGATTCGGCCTTCCAACATGCGTGCAAGCCAATGAACGAACCCCCGTTCCGTAACAATTTGACTCAAAAAATTGCTCATGGGTACTCTCAAATTTGTGATAACAACTCGCATGTTCTATTATTTTTCAAAATATACTCCAGGGTAGCTTAAAATTTCCAAAAAGTTACTCCGGGGTCCATCTGATACAGCACAAGGGAGAGCCACACCCTAAAAGCTAGTTGTTAAGGTGGGAGAACCCTTGGCCATATAAACCCATCACCAAGTCGCCCATTTAACCGGTGTGGGACAATGAAATCAGTCCATATCACCTGTAACGCCCCGAAACCTACCCTAGAATTATTAATGAATAATTATTCAATTAATCAAATTTGTTTTGATTAAAATAAATTGTTGTTGGGCTTTGGGCCGAAATAAAACATATATTGATATCCAATATCACAATCTGGATAAATCTCATAGAGATAAATCCAATATGTTGAGTATTTGTGTGGTCTTGATTGAGAACATGAGTACATACCCAAATCAAGAATAAATAAAGAAATTAGTTATGTAGTGAACTTTAAAATGATTTACTGAAATAAATCATGATAATAATTAATATGAATTAAATATGAGAACCTTTTTGAATAAAAGTCAACTAAATCAATTTTGACTCTGTCAAAGTCAACCACCCAAAAATATGGTGTCTGAAAAAGTATACCAAATAAACATAAAAATTATATCGTTGGATAGAGCTCGACTGTCTGATCGCAACGGTGCAAACACATTTCAATTCAGAGAAAGTTGGACCAAAAAGTGTACCCCGACTGGGACCAAAATTAGTCCCAATCA